GGGGGAAAAAATCCAAGGGGGCTCCAAAAAATTTTTTGGGGCTGGAAAAAAAGGGGAGGGGGCGGAAGCTTTTCGGGGGGTTGGAAAGGGTTTTAAAAAGGGGGGAGGGGATTTTTTTGGGAAAAACAGCTTGGGGAGGGGTTTTTTGGCCCCCTTTTGCAAAAAAGGGAAGAAAAGTTTGCCCTTTGGGGTTGGGTCCGGGGGAAAAAATTTCCCCCCCTTTGGGGGGGGGGGGGTAAAGGTTTTACCCCTTAAAACACCAAAAAAAAAAGGGGCCCCCCCCCCCCCCCCCCCCCCCCCCCCGTGTTCGAGTTCGCAACCAACTCTCGTATAGCTATGCAGTTCTTCCTCTGCTGTGCCAACCGTTTCGGTAACGTTGGTTCCACAAACATTGGTTTCACATAGCGGTTAGACACGAATAGATAACGCCGTCATGGCGTCTTCAAAAAAACACACCTCGCGCTCTCCCAATTGCTCACGTCTTCTTGCTGCTGCTGTCCATTTGCCGTCCGTGTCACGATACACGTGGGAACCCACAACATACTCCGAAAGCGTAAGTATTGAGGTGTGTATCGTGCACAACACAGTATTGCTGCACAACAATTACACTTCAACCCGTTGGCGATACAGCTTCGAGCACCACATGCGCCTAACCGGACCCCACTCCTCACGACAATAAGACACCAGTCACACACCTGCAACATTTAAACCTTCTGACCCACCACCCACTGCACATCATGAAGAATGCCGCAAAACACACGTACCCCCCCGCCTGGGCCGGCGAAGACCCGACATATCGCTCCACCGTGCCGGCATTGAAGGGATGCAAAGGTCTAACGACTAGGGCATGGTACGTCTTACATGAGCACACCCCCTACACGTGCGTACCTCGCCGTCCCCCAGAGAAACGCCTCCCGCTCCCAGCGAAACCGTGGTCAAGTCCGCCTCCGACTCCGCCATGGCGCTGGCCAGCGTCCGTCGGTACACCAGGTCGTACGGCGCCCTGTGCTGCTCCTCCAAGCCGCCGCCGCCGCCGCCGCCGCCTTCCTCCACGGGGAGCTCCGTGGGATGCAAGCACCTCCATCCGGTGGTCGTAGTACTTACTGCTGACCGAGGCTGATCCAGCCCCTGACCCCGCTTCCTCCTCCTCCCCCCCCGCTGGATTTCCGTCGGGAGTGTCGGTCGCGGCGGGGACTGCGCCGACTACTTGAAGGGCAGGGCGGATGGCCTCGTGCGCCTCCTGGCTGCCCTTGACCTTGACAGCTTTAGCGTCGCCTTCGAGGGAAGAGGGAGTTTCCACGGCGCGCAGGCGAAAGAGGGGGAGGACGCACACATGCAGTATGGACAGCGGTGCGAGCGCACGAGCAGACGCCCTAATGTCTAATAATCTGTCCATGTATGTGAAAACGAGCGAGGAGAGAAAAAAATACTATAATAGTGAAACGAAGGAAACAGCAATCAAGAATAAACTCGTCAAGAAATCTACACCTAGCGGCAGAGGGCGGGGGCATGCTCGTCGATCGCCATCGTGACATCGCAAAGCAAGGGCAAAAGCCAGACAGACAACAGACAACTCCAGAGAGGAGCAGCGAAAGAGAGGGGAAGACAAAACGACAACATAAATGAACAAAAAGCACGAAAGCCGACGTCTGAGACGAGGAAACCCCTAAATATATACCAAATCATGGACCCTTTCTTCGTTGTCGCTTGTTACCCTTCCGCACGTACTCGTCGCCGAAGAATCTTCTCACTGCACCCTCAGCCACCCCGGCGGCCTCGTTGCTCAGGCTAGGCCTGTCCGTGCGCATGTAGGTAATGGTCATGTACCCCACCTCGTACTTCTAGTGAACAGCACCTGAGAAACGCCGAAAACCAGGGCAAGTGACAAGAAAAAAATAACAAGAAAAAAAGAAAGCAATGCTGCAAAAAAATGAGCTCGTGCCGGCATCATTCTTCCCAGTTTGCGGTGGAACAAGAGCTGCAATATTTCGCGAACAAATAGCTCAGCATAACGAATAGACCAAGAAAAACGACAAGCAAGCAAAGTCAACTCCATACTAGACGCGATGCCATACAGCAGTAGCAGCAGACTCGGTCCCAGCTTTAGGAAGGATGCCATGTACATTCGGCACTGCGCTATGGTTGTGAAACAACCCCCCCACACACACACAAGATCAAAATATACGCACCATGACCTCCCCCTTGCTCACCTGCACTGCCCTCATGGTCTGATCCACTCCCAGCCGGAGCTTTCGGCTCGACTTCTGGTAAAGCGTGGACGGAATGAAGGGCGCCGGGGGCTGCCGCCTGACCCATCTCTTGCCGACCTTGACCACCTTGGGGGACGACAGCGACGCCGCCACGGCCGACGCTCTCTCCGAACCGAGAAGTTCCTACAACGAAAAAAACGTACGTGGCAGAACACAAGCGTACACGAAAAACAGAAAAGAGAAAGAGTGGGAGCACGTGCGTACCATGACTAGGGGAACAAAAAAAAAAGAAGACGGGAGGAAGTAGGACGCATGCGTACATGGTTAAAGGGATGCAAACACGCTATTGTAACTAGTACTTCCTATCTCGACTGCTCCACCACCAAGCGGATGTCCAAAAGCCGAAAAGGGGTATCTAGGAAAGATTTTCTTCGAGAACTCCCCTTGCACGTGTACATATCAGCGAAATTGTCGCACCCTCTTCTTGGGTGTGGAGTGATCGAGCTTTAAACGCCAGCCTGGGAGGTGTGCGACCACTCGCACTCTTCTTTGATACGGTGCTGCTGTAGTGACCCACGGACGACGTGATCAAATGTCGGAGGCCGGCAAAATCGGGGAAAAAATAATCAATTGCCAGCAAGCGCTTCTTGCAAAGCACGCGAAACACACGTCCTTGAGAGGCAACGGGGTCACCAGCCATCGTTCCCATCTTTCTTCGGCCTATTTTCAGAGGCGACAAGCTACAAGCCGGCAGGTGCACTCACCAGCCTTCATCTCCACCGTGTCCGGATGGAAGTCCTTGCCCGTCACGATGGCCTTGGACCCCACCTCCACCAAACGGGCTTCGAAAGACCGACCCCCCCCCCCCCCCCCCCAAACTTTGTTAAGGGCGCGCATCAACGGCATGTGCATGTCAAACTTAGGGTTTGGCTTGTCCGAGGATAAAGGAACGCTACCGTGAGCGTTGCTGCCAGATCGAGGGAAATGACACGATCACCAAACAGCAGTGATATGGCCGGTGAAGATTATGCGGAGAGAGTGTGAGGGAAAGTCTGAGCGGAAACAATTCGTGTTTCCCCGCTTCTTGTTCTATTGAGAGAGAGAGAGAGAGAGAGAGACACACACACACACACAGAGAGAGAGAGAGAGAGAGAGTAAAGTTGTGTCCGTTTGGAGGGACTGTCTGCCACCACCACCACTACCACCACCATCACTACCAAGCCCTAAAGCGCAGGCAGCAGCTCAGCTATAAGAGGGAAAATAAAGTGCTTCTTACTTACCCCTCACCCCCCACCTGAGACGTTCTAGTCAAAGAAATATCCAGACGAAGTATCACAGGCAACCGAACCCCCCTCTTTTGGCCCCCCCAACCCCCCACCCTGTCCCAGCTTTATCGTACGCACTATTCGAGATCCCAGACTCTAATGTGGGGGGGGGGAGAGAAACTCACCAGGCTACCCCGCGGCGGTAGCGTTGGCGACCACGTCCCAACAATCCGCGGAATTGGACTTGAGGCGCGCGCACTCGCGCTCGATCACCATCGCAGGCGCCACGCTTTGCACCCGTCCGGCGCTAAGCCCCGGAGCGACGAAGTTCCAGATAACCGGGGTCAGGGTGAAGCTGTGTGAATCAGCACGCGCGGGCAGGGGTGTGTGTGTGTGCTCATAGTCGTGCATGCCGTAGTCGTTAGACCATTGACCTCGCATCCCTACAAACCCGGGAGGGAGCACGCCGGGTTCCCACCGGACCAGGCTCTCACAACACCAAGCGCGAAGCGCCGTGAGGTATTCGGCGAGTCGCATGAAGGGTGCGCTGCATCCTGCTAAGGGTGTTCGGCATCTTGTGCTTACTTCCTTGCGTACGGATGACAGCTGCGTATGACTTAATTTATTTTTGGTGCTTTCACTTCCAGAGACAATTGTAAGCTCTGTGTAACTGCCTCGAGGGTGTTTGACCAATTTAACACAACGTGCGATTATCCCCTTTCCGCGCGGGGGGGGTTGTCCATGTAAACGCACGCCGTAGTTCGTTGGACGACAGAACTTGCATGGCGGCACGGAGTGATACGCCGGGTTTTCGCCCGACCCTGGCTATAGGTTTCACAAGGATGATTCAGAAGGTGGTGATCATCCTTGCGTTTACTGTTGCCAAACCAGATGGGGGGGGGGAGATACCGCGTGCCACTTGCGCGATCCCAACGAGTCAAGCTATTTGCCACGATAGAACGAAAAACACAAAGAACACGGGCAAGAGCGGGAGCAAAATCAGCAGCCCCCCTTTCCCAACTGCAACATCGATTAAACCCATGGAACACCACCAGTCTTCCTAGGTTCCCCATCAACCAGCCCGGACGCAAACATACCAGACCCCTCTACCCAGTGGCCCGGCGAACGCCGTTCCGTTGTCTATATGACTTCCTCTCCCTCCCTCCCCCTCTTACCCGGCTAAGCAGTCAAGGATGCAGCGGGCCTCTTCTCGTGGGCCTGAACGAGGTTCTCGCCAATCTGTCCTGGTCCCTGAAGAATGATAAAAAATAACACAAAAAACGGAACGAGCAAGCCACCGCACGAGACGGGAGGGATGGGGGGGATACCTCATCTGTGTCTCGCCTCTATGCTTGCGTGATCATCGAAACTTGCAACCTTGACGACATGGTACATAGGAGGGAGTCGAAGAGGGATTGATCCGGTCAAGGCTTGGTGGTTGAATAGGAACAACATCGTTGTCGCCGATGCTGTCGTCGGAGAAGGGTGCGCCGGCGTCGGAGAGCATATGGAGATGGAAACATGGAATCCTGACGTCATGTGGCTGCGGACAACATGGTGAGAGCTATTGCAGGACGGCCGGTTGCGTCGAGGTAGCGTCGTATACACCGGCGTTGGCGCAGGGCCCCTTGTCCCTGTCGTTGCCAACATAAAATCTGACTCATGACCGTGCAACTAGTTGTCGAAGAACGATATTCTAGGCGCCAAAACGACAACGACATCAACTCCACCACCACCACCAACAACAACAGCAACCAACCAACACAGCGCCACCACTACCAACAATAACAATAACAACAAACACTCCAACAAACCACCACCAACAGAACACAGAATTGCCGTCTGACCTCGAACGCCTTGACGAGTGTCTTCTGGGTGATGTCGTGGAACACTGCCCTCTTGACCGGAACTTTCGGTTCCAAGACCTGGTTGACAAAGAGTGCACACGCACACCACATCGTTAGAAACAGGCGCAAGTTGGACGCATTTCTGTGGCCGGTCCTGTGATACGGGACATTTCGCGTGGTGTGCTACCGGTCCTTTGTTCACTTCAAACTGTTGGAGGCTCCCGTGCAGATTGTAAAGAGGGGGGCGCGGGGAGTTCCTGGGAACACGCCGGCAGGATGTGTCCTTGGACGTAGCAGACAAGGCACACAGCGAGGCACAAACGAGGGAATCACAATGTTTTGGTCAACGCTTGGCTGTTCGTTGCTACCAAGATCAAACAACTCACAAAACACAACACAAAGGGAAGAGCAAAGGGGGGTTGTACACGAACTGCCAGCTAACCGAAACAACGCGACAACAGCGGTGGCCAGGTGAGCATAAAACGCGACAAACAGCCGCAGTCAGCTTTGGAGCTTGCCCAGGGCGAGCAAAGGGCAAAGAGAGAAGCCAGCCGGGATGCAACACCAAACAAGGACAACAACATGATCACAACAACAACGACGACGACGACGACGACGACAACGGTACCACAAAACGATCACAACAACAACGAAAGCAACGGGATCAGCAACAACAGCCATAACTGAAACGCGAAAAGATAAACCGAAAGAATGAGCATGTAGCACCTTGCAAAAGGTGCCAGCTGATGGCGGTCATTTCAGGCATCCACGGTGTAACCCTTGTACAGCTCCCCTCCGCCTCCGCCGCCTCCGCCAGCGGCGGCCTTCTTGAGGAGCTCCGTGATTGTCCTAGTCTTGGCCGGGGACTCCACGATCACATCACCAGGACTCTCTTGGAACCCTCCAACTTGGCGGCTGCAGGCTTGCTCTTCTTCGCAGCGGCAGCGGAGGGAACAGGCTTCTTCCTCTTGGGCGCGTATTTTTAGCCGTCGAAGCCTTTCTCGTAGTTGTGGTGGTTTTAGCGAGGGGGGCGGTTCTGCCGGCAGTGGCGGCCGTCGTTTCCGTATCCTTCGCGCCAGCGGCAACCTTGACCGTTTTTGCAGCCGAAGCAGAAGTCGTGGACGACGCGGCCGCGATGGAGGGTTGCGAAAGCACGGCCGTCCTCGTACCACCGCCGCCTGCCGGCACACACTGTAGTAACCCTCGCACGTGTTGCTGTTGGTGGTGGTGGGTACGGTAGCAGGGAGAGCCCCACCAAGCCGACCACAAAGACCGCAGCGTCAAGGCCCCGCCCGGGCGACGTCGGGCTGCCCACGCCGACCCTGGGGCAATCAGGAGACATGCCAAAACCACGTTCACACGCATGGGGGACAAAAAAGCGTACAACCATGTCTTCAAAGAAATGCAGCAGAGCACCCGCGACAACGGACAATAATGTTTTGAAAACCCGCCAGCTGTCGGCGTTCTATTTTCACGTCTCTCTCTCTTGGTGCAATGCATGCTATCTGCGAATAACCCACTAGGACGACCTCTCACAACAGCAACAACGGCTGAACGACGGGGAGTGGGCGGAGCGGTTGTACACATATTGCGCGAAATTCGTCACCAACCTCAACGTGGTTCAAAGTACTCGCTGTGACATGATTCTGGTGTTGCCGGTGCTGCTGCCGCAATCAGAAAAACCGCATCATGCACATGTTCTGCATCTGAAAGGCACAATCTACGTGTCATGCTTGTATCCGAACGGCTGCTCGACGAGTGACTACTGTGTTGAGACACGTTTGAATCACTCGGCGGCGGCATGCGCAGGCGGGCGGGGAGGGGGTGGTATCTAACGTAGGTATGAGCATGCTTCACAGCAGTTCCCAACACCACTGCAACCAGCAATGCGTCTTGCGCCTTTACGTTCTCATGGTTCTTCATACTACAGTAGTGTAGTGAGTTACACCAGACTATGGTGGTGTTCATTCAACACACAGCCACATCGTGAGCAGCAGAAACGGCTTGTTCGATGACAACACACAGCCGGAGAAGCTCGGCTGCTGTAGATCTATGCCGCTGCTGCAGCAGCGAGGTCGGATTACCAATCGTGCGAAAGGATCTTTAGGGGGTTCGGGGGTAGGGTTTCCGGAAGGTTCGGAAAGCATGCCGTACTTTTTGGGCGCGCGCGCACGCGGTTCTTGACGGTTTGGAGGTGGTACTCGGCTAGCTCAGCTCTGCTAGCTTGCACACTGAAGCCCGAGCTGTGCAGGCTTGCAGAGCCCGCCTGCTCGTATGTTCAGTGGAGTATGTTCCTGCGCGCACAGGGGACTCATGGTGTGTAGGGGAGGAGAAGAATGCTGCTAGAAAAACATGTCAGGACCGCCGAAAGCAATCAATTAGTCTACAATGTAGACTGTTGTCGGGGGCACCGATTTGTATGTGCGCGCTACCGGGCTGCCGGCCGTTCGGTAGGGCGTGTACTGCTGCTGTACGAAGAGCGAGTGGAATATCTAGCTGAGTCTAGGTGCTGTAGGTCTAGGCCTTTGCACAGCTTCGAGATGACCGGAACCGCTAAATGCGCTGTGCTGTACACGAAAGAAACAACCGATTGCCCCGCAACGCTAGAGGTAGGCGCATCAGCATCCAGATCTGCCGCTGCCATGTGCTTCCAGATTGATAGCTTGCCAACGTCCAACCAGGCACAACACTGCACAACAACCCATACGACGTCTGAAGAAGCATGTTTCCCCCAATCCCCCACAGCCACCCTATAAGGCGTCGAAAGCCTACCCATTTCCGGCTCAGGCTACACCTAAACAAGGTATGACACAAGATATCACACCCCCTCGACCGATTTTCCAAGCTCCATTCTTTCACAGCAGAAGCGTGGCAGCGCCGGAAACGGCGGCGTTGAAGCCGCTCTGTCAAGAGCCTTCTGAAACAGTCGTTTCATGCACGCATTCTCTTCGTGGAGTAATTGATGTTTGGAAATCGGTCCAGGCGGGTAGGCTGCTGCATTTACAGGCACACATCGCAGATAGATGATCTGCTCCCATGTAGGTTGCAAATGGCAGATACTAGATTCAACACCTTCCCATGTCAAACTATCGAGAAAAACCCAAAGTTTTTGCGCAGGGTATATTGAGGAGATATTATACACCAGGTTTGAGCGAGTCGTCGCCACGTTGTCTGAAGCATACTTACTTGTAGACTTCATGTAGGTTGAAGGGGAAGTTGGTTGAAGGGGGAGTTGCAGGAGGGGAGAGAGGAGCCGACATAGTCTCGCCGATAGCCTGCTTGTTAAGCTTTGGTTTAGAAGGGGTGAACGCGGAAAGAAAACAACATAGCTTTAATATATACCGTAATAGTCGGAGAGATAGGACCGGTCTGAGAGGTGGCACCGGTCGGGGAGATGGCACGGGGTTGCTAAAAAAATACGAGAACGGCACGATTTACATCCATTTACGCACCGGGGTCAGTGAGATCGCACACCGACCGCCAAACCCAAAGATTGAGCTCATTTTCAGCTGCCGGAGTGAGGTACATGTGTGTTCCTTATACATGTGGGGATGGTGTCAGCGGAGCGCCACCCCTGCATGTACGTATGCATGGTCGCGGTTCACACGGGATGCCAGTTGATTTCATATTTGAATTGGTATGGAAGTTGCCAACCGTATACTCTCAACTAGACACACAACGTACAAGCCACATCCTACCCCACCTTACACAACACGAAGCTATTGTTGCTTCGTACGTTGCTTCGTACGTACTGGTATCCGTAGAGGAACACCGAAACGAAAGCGGAAGACAACTGATGCCGTATGTACCAGTACCTCAGATGGAAACGACATCCTTTCTTGTCGTCACTCTATAGCCAAACTCGCATCAAACACGACACCACTCGCTGTATGGAAAGCTGTTACGTACCAGCCTACGTTGCCGTTACCGGTATGCTCCCACTCATACAACACCTGTGTGTATTTCATCGGAGATCGCACCGGTCGGAGAGATCGCACCGGGGTGCCTTGAAAATGTAATCAAAAAGATCTAATTGCATTCCCGCACCGGGGTCGGAGACATGGCACCGGGGCGCGATAAAAACTCAAGGAAGAACATTTAAAAAAACGATCGCATCCGGTGCCATCTCTCCGACCATGACGGTATCTCGAAACGGCATGTACGTACCACAAGTCCAGGACGAAATGGTATTGAATGCCAAAACGCAACCTGAAAATTATTGCCAAGTGGCCAAGTGGGCAAGTGGCCAAGTGGGCACCAGACAACTTTCTTGGACAGAACACAAAATAATTTCTACCCTCATCCGGATGGAACGCAATGAGCTGAACCCAATGGTAGGTAGGTCTGCCTTGTTTTCGATATAGGATCAAAAACGGTTCTTCGACAATTCGTTACTTTCACATTTGGGAACAGGTCTGGTTGTCCTTGGATACGCATCTTTCAAGCCAAGGCTCGAAGGCAAAAGATACATCGCGCTCTTGGAAACACAAAAAACAGCGAGCAGTCGATAGTACTGGAAGTGGTGTGAAAGGCTGACAAACGGAACGTCGGTGGGCTCGGAAATAGTTCTTGAAGCAACCCTATCGTGTAGCGAAACCAATGAATTCCCCTCAAGAAAAACCAAACGTATCTATCCCCCAAAACGCGGAGCCGAATACTCCTACCACCAGCCTCGACACACCATCAGCCGAAAGACTACAAAAAAAAATTAACTCTACCCACCACTGCGAACCGGGCGAAATGACGTAATGGCGCAAGCGGTTCAGCTCAAGCGGACACCGTACCACAAAGCATCCGAGACATCGTACAACAACATCCGAGCCCCCCCAAAAGTATGGCTATGGCTTAACAAAGGTCAGCCGGACCCGGCCGAACTGGTCGAATGATCGCATTAGAGACTTCTGGCAGAAGCATCTGCCGCAGAACCAAACCTGAGCCTGGCAAATCTCTACTCGTTCCGAGCCATGGCCTCGAACACGCTTGACCATGTTTGCCACCGATTTGCGGTTTATTGCCTCATTCTCGGTCTCGTTGATCAGAGTTACCATGAACGCAAAGCGGTCAAATTTCATGACATTCAACATGTGCAGAAATTTTTTCTTCTTCGCATGGTTCTGCTCGTGCGCGTTGAGGTTGACCCCCGAGAGCTGGGCGCATGAGTCTATCCCACCGTACTTTTGGCGGCAGTCATCCCCGTGGTTGCAGTCGTGCAGGGCGTCAGGCCCGTAGTAAGGCCCGGCATTGCTCCCCAAGGGGTGCGTTCTGCGCACTGTCGCCGTGGGGTCCTCCTGCAGCGGTTGGATGTCGAACGGAAGGCCATACTCTTCCACGATGCCATTGGTGTCAGCGCTTTTCCCCGGTTGATGTTGAGCCACCTGAATCTGAAGGGCTTTCGTACGCTGCACCGCCGACCCGAAGCATGCTCCTGAGCGCACAGCCAGTTCTGTGAGGACGAACAGAGATGACGTACAAAAAAACGGCATGCCATGTGTTGGCTCATGAAAACGTTTTGACTAAGGTTTGATCATTTTGAGCCGGCTTGGAGGTAACGAACGACATGTACCATACCGGCCTGATACCGGCACCAACATTGACACATTATGGAAAAACGTACACAGCCCGGTAGATTGGTGGTCCTTAGATTATTGGAACCAACAAAACGACTAGCCTCAACACCTAACACGCAAGTGTCCACGTCCTCGTACCTGCCCTCTTCTTTGCGCACTGGTTGGCAGGTTGAAGTCCAATCGCGATGAACTCCTCCTT